ACTGTCGTCTCATCGGCTACACACTTCCGTAACTGAGACACGTGGAAGGTGTTATGAATCTGGCTCAACTCTACAGGTAGCTCCAACCGGTAAGCTACCTTACCCACTCTGGCGGTCACTCTGAAAGGTTTGATGTATCTAGGGCCCAGCTTGACCCGTTTCCTGAATCAGATCACCCCTTTCCACGGGGATACCTTCAGGAGGACAAAATCTCCAACCTGGAACTCTAGCTCGGATCGTCGCTGGTCTACATAACTCTTTTGGTGACTCTGGGCTGTCAGCAACCTCTGTCTGACCTGTTGAATCTGCTCGGTTGTTTTCAGCACTATCTTAGTGTCACCCATCACTCTCTACCCTACCTCTCCCGAACAGATGGAATTCCGACACCTCCTCCCGTATAGAAGATCAAAGGGAGGCATGTCAATGCTGGAATGGTGGCTGTTGTTGTATGAAAACTCATCCAAAGGCAAATAGGTGTCCCAACTTCCTCCGAAGTCCATAACACATGCACGCAGCATATCCTCAAGCGTCTGAATCGTCCGCTTACTTTGCCCGTCTGTCTGTGGGTGGTAAGATGTACTGAAGTGCAGCCGGGTACTCAACTCCTCATGAGATGAGTCGTGTGGGTCAGCCGACCAGTCGTGAGATGTTTAGCCTTTCCTCTAGGGAGTGAGGATTGAGTGTTCGTCTTTACTTATGAGTATTGTTAGGGCGTTGTAATGATCCTTGAGACAAATACGGGTAGGTGTGGAAGGTAGTATATGCCCGTACTACTGAAACCACATGACCCGTACATGTAGCAAGGAAGTCACAACCCCTAGGACTTCGTTGGTAGTTGGTTTTCCCGGTATGATATATGGATTATCTTCCTGGTGTATTTTCAGTATGGCGACTACGAGACGAGTTGAGATTGGATCCGGGTCGGGATCAGGAGCCACCATACAGGGTGAGCCAATATTGTCAGTGGACCGCGTCAGGGAGATCATTCGTGAGGAGGTGGTTGCTATTGTCCGGGGTCAGATTCTTTAGAGTTCCATCAACGAACCCTATTTTCTTTTTCGCGAGCAAAAAATTTTCTATCTCTTGAATCTAATCGAGTTAGTTTTTGTCGTTCAACGCATCATTTACATGTATTTGCTTTGGGTAATCTGATGGATGATGGTAATATGGTGAGTTGTAGTCGGTGGCTTGGTGTAGCGCCCGCAGATTCGGGCTAGTCAATTTAGAGATGATAAGAGTAAAAAAATGATTTTTTTATATATTATTATGTAGAATAAATAATCTTAACTAAGTTGTAGTATATGTCACAAGGTTTCCGTACATATAAAGAATGTTGAAATCCGAGTTATAAGGAATAAGTTATGACATGTCGAAGTTTCGCGACAAAACCGACACGACACTGGGAATCGTAAAAAGTGAGTTTATGATAGAGTACTTTCTAGCCTTAGTATTCTAAATGAAAGTTGTAGAGTACGTCTCCACCTTCGCGTTGATATAAAGAACGTTAAAAACGGAGCTCGTATGCAAAAGTTATGGCCTTCCGAATATGCAGTTGTTTCATAAACCCTAATTTGACCGAACTCACGACGTGAGCATAGAAATTCACGACGTGAGGAGTCAAAACGCCACATTTCAAGCTATAAGACGCATGGCAAGTCTACGGGATGATACGTCAAAAGCTCACGACGTGAGCAATGGATTTCTCACGACGTGAGGAGTCAAACAGACACTATGCAAGCCTCGAACACAGATGGCGAAGCTTCGGGATGACTAGCCATGGATCACGATGTTTGCAATGAGTTCTCACGACGTAAGAGAGCCAAAACCAACCTATAAATAGCAAGTCCGACCTCTTCTCTTCCTTATACCAAAATCTTTTCTCTCTCTCGTTTGTTAAGGCCGTTTTCGCATCCCGAGCCCGATGATGACGAAGCGCTGACCGTTTCTAGTTAGATTCTATCAATTCATGCTACTAAGGTGAGTGCATAGTTACTTTCATCTTACACATAAATATAAAGTATTTAATATAAATTACATGCTATGTGTGCATATTATTTGTATACTTGCTATCTATGCTGGATGAACGATTTTATACATGTTTTAAATGATTTAAATTGTATACGTATTTTATATCTACAATTTATGTTGGGTAAAACATGGGTAGATGAATATGAGTTGGATGATGAGATGAGAGGTAATATAGACCATGATATAAGGGCGAAAGGTGAACAATGAGAAAAGCCTTTTTCCCAAGCGTTGGACCCGTCATCTAGTAGAGTATGGATGACAACCACGAACTATTCTAGACAGTCCAGTGGAACACTAGCAGGCTCGCAACCTGTAGGAGTTGTGAACGATGTGTTCACCCGGTGTACTCTAAACCCTGGTGACTATGCGACTTAGTGCATGTTGTATAAACCTTGGCGACTATGAGACTTAGTGCCTAAACCCTGGCGACTATGCGACTTAGTGCCTGTTGAGTAAACCCTGGCAACGATAGATTTTGTGCCGATTCCTTAGGATGATCCTTAGGAATGAATGAACGAGGAATAGCTAATTCTTAGGATAGATCCTTAAGAGTAAAGAAGATAATGGGGATGGGTAATTGGGTTAATTGTTTGATGATTAAACATAATAATTATATTATTGTGGGTTGAAAACCCTATGTACTCACCAGGTTTCCCAACCTGACCCACTCAAGCTTATTTGTATCACAAGTGTCGATACGAAGCCACATTACACTGAGAGATTATGGAGATATAAATCATTAGTGATAATGAATATAAGTTCTGTTTATGCTTATGTTTCTGTATTGACGATGACATCCCAAATATTTTAAAATAAATAAAAATACATTTCTTCGGAAATGCTTTGATAACGTATTTATCATGTTTTTCTGGGAACAAATTCCGCAACATTTTTATTAAAAGAAGTACTCTGATTTTTATAAAGCATAAACAAAATCGGTCTTTTCTGGTCGTGAAATTGGGGATGTCACACTTGGCTATTGGTTTTGGGCCCTGAGTTGCCTTCGGCACCGGCCATGATGAAACGATGAACAACCATATAGGGTTTTGTGGTTTTGGCGAATCGGTTTGAGACCCGCTCTGGTACCATATAGAATTGGAATTTTATGTATTTTGTGTATATTGATCTCAAAAGATTACAAAGGGATCAACCATATATATACTTTGTCAATTCCAATTACAACAAGGAAATAACAGGAAAGGAAAAGATATGCGAGTAATTTCTTCCAATACTTTGTCATGCCATCGTCGAGGGACGATGTTCCTATGACATGGCACAATCCACACCAAGATACTGATGCCTTCGAACCACTTCCTCTAGCATGAGTAACCGTTTAAAATTGAATAATATTTTTTAAATTTTAGAACCATTTAAATGACTAAGGCCTTGTTTGTTTACCTCTTAATTGTAAAATTAAGAGGCAATGTCTTAAAAATTCAGATTCAGATCGTTTGTTTGTGTCTTATTTTTTACCTCTTAAAATTAAAAACACATCTTAATTTTTCAGATATGGAACAAAGTCTGAAGTAAAAAAAACACGCGTTTCTTATTTTGCCCTAACACACAATCAAACACCCCGCCTCTTCTTCTCTTCTTCATGCGTCTTCTTCCTGCGGCTTCTTCCCCCTTCGTGTCAGCTTCCCTTCCCAACTGCATACTCCGACGACGCCGCTGAACGACGTTGCCCAACCAAGCAACGCCGACGCCGACGCCGACGCCGCTGCAACCTAGCAAGGCCGACGCTGCTGCACCTTCTCGCGGCTGCCCTGAACTCGAAAATCAACAATCAAAAACAGGTTTGTTCTTCCTTCTGAAAATCGATTGCTCTTCTTCGATTTTGATGGTATACGATCGAATTTGAATGTGTTCATTTGTTTACTGATGGATACTTGATACTCTGTCACGAGTCCACCCTAGCTTTTAATTTATATTTCAAGCCTATTCCTTTAGTGTATCTCCATGGTTTGTGATTTTGCTCATTTTCCAAATTTCGAAGGATTACAGTAATGATTTTAGTATGGCAATATGGGGAGAAATTTGGATATGAGTCTTGGAAGGGGATTTCATGGGGTATGGTGAGTTATTATCAATCCAACTCCCTTTATTTGTAATTAAGTTCACTCATTTTGAGTCCCCCATTGTTGTATGATATGTACGCATAACATAATGAGTAAATTGCATCAGGTGCCTTTACTAGGAGGAGCATTTTGTGTGTGTACTTGACATTTCTTTTATAGCTCGGAATCACTAGAGGTATGATTGATTGATCATGTTCATTTTAATTGAATTTAAAACACATTCATATTCATATACGATTCACTGTGTTTAAATCGTTTCTATAAGTAGAAAGAAAATCACGAACTTTCATCAATTTTCAACATAAATTATAGGTTTTGGTTGCAATCCAAGGGGCATTAACGATTATTGGCAATGCTACAATGTGCATAGCTGCATACTAAATATATAAATCATCACAAGAACGATCCACTGATACATAATCATCTGTAATTATGTATCTTGTTCATTATGTTTTCCCTCAACATGTGTTACATTTATAGATTAATCATTTGTAGGATTGTATTTGGATTTTAATATGATTTTGTGGATTTAAAAATATCTATGTTTGATTTGGATTTGTGTTTAATATTGCTTTATGCTAAATTTGGATTTTATATGGTGTTTATATTTTTTTTAATACCTATTTAAGAAATTTATTAGGTTATTTTCTAAACAAACAGTTGAATTCAATAAAAAATAAAACAGAAAGGTAAAATGATCATTTTAATAATTCAGCACAGCAATTCAGAGGTCCCAACCAAACAACATGTTAAACATTCAGCTTTTAAAATTATTCAGAGGTCCCAACCAAACAACATGTTAAACATTCAGCTTTTAAAATTTCAGACCCTCTTAGAAATTCAGATCTTTTAAAAGTTCAGATTTAAAAAATGATCGACCCAAGCTAAAAATTAAGTGAACCTTAACCCGATTCATCAAACCCGCATACGCTACCTCAAGAGGCCAAGACTACGTCGGGTAAACACGGCAGCGTAATGCTCCGGCATCGTTGAAAATGTGGCGGAATCACCGATTAATCGGCAACTACACGAAAACCGCCACCGCCATCATGCTCTTCATTCCATCATTCTCTTCTTCTCAGACCCTAACTCTCAGATCACTGCGAACCCTCATCGCGCTCGCCTCAAACCCTATTACTCTCCTCACACCGCCGCAGTTACCACATCAGCCCTTAGGGGTTCAGCCGCCGCGCTCTTCGCTAACTCTAAGTATATGCCGATTCTCACATTCTTCTACATCTTCTCCGATTCCAACGACTGCTCGTGATTTTTTCGGCTCTAGTTCGAACTATATAGGGGCTAAATGTATTTCTTCTTTTTCGTCTTCCTCCTCCTCCTCCTCCCCGTCGTTTTCGGTCGCTGATACGCTGGAGTGGGATGAACCTGCTGTGTGCGCAGAGGTTGAGGATTCCGGCGATGATTTTGTGACTGACGAGGACGTTAAGCCGCCCATTTCTGTTAGGGCTTATTTCTTCTCTACCAGGTATGATAATTGCTGCTTAAAATGGTTATTTTTTCCTATTCATCACTGCATTCGTTGTGAATATTGCGTGATTTGATTTCAGTGTGGATTTGAGAAGTCTGGTGGAACAGAACAGACCCAATTTTATCCAGCCTACATCACGCATGACTAATTACATTGTATTGAGGTTTGGCAGCAACAAGCCTGAGCATATTGTAAGTCTGTTTTGTTCATGTGATCAAGAGATTTTTGTTGCATTCGTTGTATGTTTAGTTATTTGCAAGAAACATTTTGGAGATACATGTGCATAACAACACTCAACAAGGTTCATACAAGCTTTTAGTGCTTAAAAAGTTAAAAGTGAATTAGGGAATGAAGCACACCAGCATCACTACATCTTGTATTTCTCATGAATCTTGAAGCTACATATGATTTCAGTGTTTTTTAATTTCTACTCCTGAAGCTTCTTGATGATTATATGCTTTTTCAGGGTTTGGGTTCGAGTTTAAGTGGGAGTGAAAGCAGCTACATGGTAGTTTTTCAGTATGGCTCCATTGTCTTATTCAATGTCCGTGATCATGAAGTTGATGGGTATCTGAATATTGTAAAAAATCATGCTTCAGGATTGCTCCAAGAGATTAGAAAAGATGGTGAGTTCTCATGACTTTATGATCCATGTAATCTTCTTATTTTTTCATTCAAATCCATGTAATCTTCTTTTTCTTTTTGCTTAAACTCAGAGTATGAGGTGAAAGAGAAACCAAGTTTGGACACATGGATGCAAGGTGGGTTGGATTATATAATGCTGCAGTATTTGAACATTGATGGGATTCGTACAATTGGCAGTGTTTTAGGTCAAAGTATAGCTCTCGATTACTATGTTCGCCAGGTAAGCAGTGTAATAAATTTCTGCTATATTTCATATGAATGAATAATGATTATGAGTTCAATTCTTGATGTTTCTTGTTTTAGGTTGATGGGATGGTTGCAGAATTCACTGATATAAACCGTGGCATGGAAAAAACTGGAACTTTCACCATGAAAAGGAAAAAGCTTTTTCAGTTAGTGGGGAAGGCAAATTCGAATCTTGCTGATGTCATACTTAAGCTCGGACTTTTTGAGAGGTAAACTTTCAATCTTGCTGATGTCATTAATGAACCGATTAATAGAAAATTGTATTGGGTTGACTGTTGTGTAGATCTGATATTGCATGGAAGGATGCGAAATATGCACAGATATGGGAGTATTTAAGAGATGAATTTGAGTTGACTCAGCGATTCGCGAGTTTGGATTTTAAGTTGAAGTTTGTTGAGGTAAAGTGGTTTGTTATATGGAGATTTGTTTTAGTTTTTTTGGTGAAATTGAGGGGTGATGTATTTTGATTGCAGCATAACATTCGGTTTCTTCAAGAGATTTTGCAGAACAGGAAATCGGATTTTTTGGAGTGGCTGATTATAATACTGATAGGTGCTGAAATTCTTATATCTGTTTATGACATTGCTCATAAATCTGTCACATCCCTATAGAACATTAGTGTATATGTGGGGGGAAATGGCTAAGTTATTGAAGTGTGTGACTTGGAATGTTAGCTTGATTTTAGTTGATGTTTGTTATATATTTACAAAGAGAATAAAGTTGAAGAAGATAGTTTTTTGATTCCTCTAGGTGTGAATGTGATAAGAGGACCCGATTATAATTGCATGATCTACCATATTGTTGTGTAATAGAAGCAAAAGGGTGGATATCTTAATCGGACATCCTTTAGGATCAAAAGGGCGGATGGGTTTAGGACCTTGAAGCCACAATAACTTATTCAATGTCCTTTGATTGATAAAATCTACTTTGATCATGGGGATACTCTCATACTCCCATTAGATCGAACAATTTAGTTGATATTAAGCTCAATGTTCAAGCGTGGATGATGCATTTAAACAAAGTGCCCACTAGAATGAACTTGGACAAATGAGGGATTGATGTTGTTTCTTTAATAAATCACAATTAATGTTCAAATCAAGACAATTTACCACATTTTATTCTCATGCCCCGTGGAGCTTTCCATTTGGAGTCAAATTGGTCTATGGCGGGACATTGATGTGCCTTTTTTCTTTGCTTTATTTAGTGGTGCTCACAACAATTTAGGCTCGATTAAAACGGTTACCCAAAAACGCAACTTTATTTGATAAAATGCTTTCTCATTCTTTTTTCTGAATTTATAATAGAAGCATTAAGATGATAGTTAATTAGGTATGTTGGCTTTACAATCATATTAATGTTATTTCCTTTTGAGTAAATTACACAAATGGTCTCTGTGGTTTGGCGTAATTTGCACGCTTGGTCCCTAACTTATTTTTTTAACTCGGATCGTCCTTATAGTTTGATTTTGTTGCGTTGTTGGTCCCTAACCGACTTAAAATGACCACTATACCCTTATATGTTATTTTAATTTTTTTGTTTTTAATTACTTTATTAAAAGAAATTATAAAATAAACAAAATTTAGTAGATATGGGTCCTTCACCAGCCTTACCCCTGTTCTCCCTCACCCTCACCCTCCCACACCTTCGACTTTCCCTGCCCCAGACTCATTCATATTACCTGCAAATTATCGATCTTCATCTTCCTAGAACAATTTATGAACAATGAAACTAGAAATCAATGAAGCGCATATATGATCAAATAAAAAAAGAACCCGGATACAATCGATTAACAAAAAACACAAACACCGTTTAACAAAAAAAACCCCAAACATGGACAACAAAATCAGGAAAAAAATCTCAGATCAATATCTAGGCTTAAGATGAAATCGAACCTAACTTCAAATTCTTAAATCACCAAAAGAAATCGGGAACAAGAAGGAATTCTCCAATCCATCAAAATCAATAAAAAAAACCTCAATACATTTAGGGGGTGTTTGGCTTTCTCTTTTTGAGAGGCAAAAGTCCTTTTTGGATTCTTCAGCCATGTACCTCATTTCATTGTAGAACATTTTTGCCCCATTCTTCATCATCATCGACATCTCGTCTCCAGTCCGATTTCGGCCAGCGGTCGCCACCGCCGCCCTATCCCGCCATCACAGAGTCTTGCCATTCTTCTTCCTAAACCTGGTAACACTCTTTTTCCCCCCTTCGTCTTCCCAAACCAACAACATCACACCACCTCCTTTTGAAGATATCTGGTAAACCAAACTACACTTCAAAGCTTAAGAATGCAACAAATTTTGAGAAATGTTTGATTCTATGGCTTTTCTGTCGGAGGTTAAAAGATGCACATATTTGCAGGTTTTCGGCAAAGCCTCTCTCTCGTGTCTCGTTTCTGCCGGTGGAGAAAGCACTCGGTGAGATTACTAATGGAATGCTTAGAACGATCTGTATTTTTTGTTGGATTTTAGGAGAAGAGGTTTTTTTTTTTGGAATCAACTCTTGGCTTATTGACATCGGAGTGTTGCCGAGATCGCAGCGTCGCCGACATCTGGAGTAAGAAAAAAGAGGAACGAGAGGTGTCTAGGACCGTTGTCGGAGGGATCTGAAATCAAAATCCATGGAGGTCGACAAGGAGACCCTCGACGACAAGAAAATCTCTGTTCTCCCACCACATTCTGATATCCCATCTACACAAGACAAGCTTGACGAAAGACGAGTCAGAGAGGGATGAAAAGATGGAGTTCGATTTACAGGAGCCTTCATTTTTTTCTGGATTGTGCATAAATTTGTTTTGGGTGGAAAGAGAGAGGTTTGATTTTAGTATAGATTGGAAAATATAAAAGGGAAAAGATGTTTGATACATTTTAAAAGTTATTTTTGGATTTTAAATAGAAGGAAAACTCGCTTTTTGGAAAATTAGGAAAACTCGTAACTTTTCCAAATCAAAAAAGACAAGCCAATCACCCCTGGTCGACCGACTTGCTTCACCCGCTCAGCCTTAATCGATCGGGTCTTCTGTCTCCTACTCCTTCTCACTATCTCAAGTCATCGTATTTGACCTTAATGATGGGTAAGCCAATTACTGAAAATCCAATATTGAAAATTATGGAGGTGGTGACCGGTGCTTGATATCGAGGGCTATGGGTGGTACCGGGTGGCGGTGAAGATGATGGGTAAACAAATTAGTGAAAATCCATATATTGTTTTAGTTTCACATGTTGATTTACGATTTATGATTGAAGAATCCTCTTTTTCGTTTTCTGATTTCGTTAATTTTCGTCCTAAAGACAGGCAAGACATAAGACAAATTGGAAAAGGAAACCTTTGCTGGAAGAGGATTGTGAGACGTCTGAGGAGGTGAACTCTCTTAAACTTTATATATTATGCTCACCATGTGTTTGCTTAAATTCCCCAAAGACTAACAACAGTGGCAATGCTCATTTAAGAAACCAGTTAATGCGATTTTTAACTATTCGATTCAGAATTTTTGTTGATTATTTGGAGTAAAATGCTCACGTAACTTTATAAATAAAAATAATCAAAAAAAATGGATCCCAAAAGTTCCCCAAGAAGCTACAACCAAGGTGATGATATATCACTGTATCTTTTATATATATATATATATATATATATATATATATATATATATATATATTTAATAAACAATAATGAAATGCTTATAAATGTATTTGTGTAAACAGAATTTGTTTTGTGGGAAGAATGTGCTTATTGATATGAGCATATATTCTGCACTTGTCATGGCTATTCGTCGTGCCCAACATTTCATCTATATTGAGAACCAGTATTTTATTGGATCATCCTATAATTGGAGTAATTATAAAGATTTGGGTAATAGAGTTTTTTTTTTTTTTTTTTTACATGTCAACATAATAATCTGTTACCATCTGCTGTTGTTTTCCTTTTGTAGGTGCTAATAATTTGATTCCCATGGAGACTGCTCTTAAGATTGCTAATAAAATCAGAGCACATGAAAGATTTGCTGCGTATATCGTCATCCCTATGTGGCCAGAGGCTGTCCCCACAGGTTCCGCTATACAAAGAATTCTATTTTGGCAGGTATACTTTAAAAAAAAATAGATATGTCCATAGACGATAGTACCAAAAGAATTAATTGTAGTCTTCCAAAAAAAGGATAAATAGTTATACTAATTGCAGGGGTTCTTTTTAGATCAATGTGCATCGCCTTCTACAGTTCTTCTTGGTTTCAATCCACCAAATAACTCTGGTTGAAAATTTTATTGTCCAATGTTCAAACGATCTCAATAACTACACACTGCTAGAATTGAAAGTACAATTATGAAAAATTGTCAGAAGTTTGGATATTATCAAGGTAGTCAATTTTAGTATGGTGAAAAATGCGAGGCAATGTATGTTTGATGAGAATAGTCATGTTTTTTACTCGAGTTGCTAATGATAATCAGTTTTTTTTTTATTTTTTTATTTTTTTTTTGATATAGAAATGAACGAGGAACATGAGTTCAATGACTGCAACCAAAAGAATGTTAACAACCATTACAGTCTCTGCAAATGTTTCCAACATTTTGGAAATCAGCTACTTTTGGTTCGTCTTTTACCCTAGATATTTTTTTCTATTTCTTTATTCCTACTTCTTCGTTCATGGTTTTCCTTTTTACTGGATGGAATTGTTTTTTCATATGGGGTCACTATTCATCTGTATCAGTCTTAACAAGGAACTGCATCGTTCTCAATTCTATAACATTACACAAACTTATGTTTGCGATCATGAAATAGTTAATTAATAACCGGTGTTGGCGAAGGCGTTCGGTGGAAGTGCTGGGCGGAGCCGCTGTCGGCTGGCTGAGAGAGACCGGAGATGGAGTTTGCTTACACACGGGCAGATGTCTGAACTTCTTATCATTTTATTTGGAACAGTTGATAGGTAATGGAATATAGTCAAATCCAATTGACATTTTGTTGAAGTTGCAATTGATATGAACTTCTTATCGTTTTAATTGGTTTTGTTTACAAATTTGTGTCCTTAATCGGGTTATTTCATACACATCGTTTGCGATAATTGGGGGTGGAGTTGGTTATGAGCAACAAAAGAGTCGACTGGATACTGCAACAAATGAACCATTGCTTAAAAATTGCACACAAACCTTCATTAATACCCATAAATACATAGAAGTTATGGTATGGGTTTTTTTCTACTTCTATTACTACTCCCAATCAAGAACTAAAATTTTGCATATTTGGTTTCAGAAGGGGACACCATGAAGGTGAGGAAGTGGAGAAAATTTTGTTCTTCTTCCTACCTGATTTGTCCTTTCCATCTCAACTTTATGTCAATTGGGTCAATAAAGGGCTTCAGGGACAAAATTTTCGACTTTTGAAGTCAAAGAAAGTTGAAATTCAAGTGTTTTTTTTTTTTTTTTTGTTTGACAATTTACTTATCTGACAGTTAACTACCTGGACTTCAGTGTGATAGTAACCCTCGCTTTTCGGTTGATGATAACGGATCTTATGAGATAGACAGAAAAAAAAACACGGGGTATGTATGGGAAAGGTGTCACCTTTTTTTTTATAAAAAATGTTTTCTGTTTATGTTTTCTGCGTTTTTAAATATATTTTTATAATAAAAAAATTTACTTCATGTTGGAACATAGTTTCTTTTTTTTGATGTTTTTGTTGAAACATTCTACTTTTCGTGTAGTGTGGAATGTATGGTTTCATTTTTTTTTTTTATTCAAATTGCTTTTTTTCATACATTCTCTCATTTTATTAGTTGGTAATTTGCAGAAATTATGATTCATATTAACTTACTTGCTGTATGCTTTTGAGTGCAGGGCTTGGTGTTCATAAAGTGGTCTATCAGGCGGTTACAATGATGGCAGGCGCAGAAGCAAAAACTCATTTTTTCCTATTTGACAAAGAAGTATGATTTTATGCAAATGGCCTCGTCCAACTTGCCATCTTATTTGTTTTCAGTCGATTAATAATTTGAATAGAACATAAGAAGGAGAAACGTAAGTACGTTGCTATTATGGATATCGAGTTTTAAATTTGTTTTGATGCAGGCTTTGATCACAAAGGACAGAGGTTGTATTGACTCAGCAGTTCCACCATTTGCTAAAGATATTGGACAGCTTCAAAGTTTAGGACTCCATGAGGGATCTGATCTTCTTGAAGTGGTATAGTAATATATCAATTTTTGGAATAATTGTGTTTATTTAATTAATTATATGGAAACGAAACACTTTAAATAAATTTATATACTTTAGAAATGGGGATGACAAATTTATGATATTTTTCAGGTCAAAAAGATCAAACCTCATGTTCGTCTTGGTTTATCTAGAGTTGGAGGTGTTTCAAATGACCATGTATTTTTTATTTATTTTATTAATTTTAGGCTAAATTACAAAAAATACCATTATATTTTGGGAAATCTTGCGGTTTAACAGCTAAAACTATTTTTTTTCCCATCAAACCACAAAATAAAAAGATATTTTTCCATATTAACCATTTTGACACGTTATATATCAGGTTTCATTGGTAATTTTCCAAATTAACCATATTAGCATGTTACGTTTTATCATGTTAAAATAATTAATGTGTGTTTGGTATGTTGTGTTGTGTGTGATTCGTGAAAGGGATTTGTTGGATAGATTCGGGATGTGTCGATGTTGTCACTATAAATTAACTTGACTTCTTAGATTATAATAAACATTATTTTTTATTGCCACCCCTAATTCCTAATTCATATGTATGTTTTCATATGCAGGATTTGCCTCCAACATTTCCAGGTCATCCTGCTTTGGCTGATAATGGAAGAAATTCTTTAAGACGTTTACTCATTGCTTATGCTAGACATGTTCTACTACATGATAATTTTTGACTTTTTTCAAACAATTCAACCATGGAATGGAATCTCAGATTCCAATTCCGTCGGAATTTGAGAACCAAACGTAGTTGTGGAACACGAATGGGATCCTTCCACCAATAAAGAATAAGATTTTTATTACTTTTAGTTTATCTCGATCGTCGGTTCTAATATTTTGATTATGCATTGTTTTTCCACGGACTACACCTAGCATGGAAGGTTCTGTAGATATTGTTTCTTCTGGTCGTGGCTTGTAACAAATGGTAAATCATCTCAAAACATTTTTATTTTTTTGGTTCTTTTCTAGGGTAAAATACACTAAATAACAATGTAAATACCATGGAATAAGGTTTGATCCTATTCATGGAGATTCCATATTTCAATTTTTCTTTTTTATCACAATTAAATATTTTTTTTAATATGAAAAGAATCGACCGTTATGTTCTACCATTAGGTACAACTTGAAATAAGGAAAAAAAAACAAAACACAGCGCCAATGGCGAACATGATTCCCCTCTAGTTATACTAGTTTAATAAAATCTTCGTCTTTCCAAATAAGAATTTACGCCTCCTTTTATTCACCAATCATTCTACATCCTTTCTACCATGAACACTTTATCAGTCTCAAAATAAGATTGGAATCAATGAAACCTTGAAGTTGAAATTCTACTATGTAGTTGTGGAGTTAAAGTAAGAAGATGAACATTTTGCAATAGAAATCAACCCAGATAAAAATAAGGGTAAATTACACCAATCATCCCTCATGCATATATCGAAAAGCGCGTTTAGTCCCTATTTTCAAAAATTAACTCGGACAGTCCCTCGTTTGGTTAAAAGTTGCACACCTCATCCCTCCGGACATAAAAAGACGATTTTGCCCTTAATAATGTATTTTTTAAATTTTATTTATTATTTTTAGATTAAAAAAAGAAAATAAATATACACCAACCCACCGTTCCCCTTTCCTTTCCCCGGTTTCCTTCTCTCTGTCTCACTCACTCTCGACACCGACGTAAACAGCTCCACCTCCTCCTCTTTTTTTTTCTTCCGGTGACACCAAACACATCTACTCTTTCTCTTGCTTTCTTTTCCGATTGCCGGAGAATAACATCACAATATGGTGACTCAGTCACTCAACAGGTTCGATTTTCCGGTGAAGTAACTAGGCTACCATCGCAACCCACCAAGCTTTGGTTGTGATGCAATGACCGGATGAGGAGCTGTGGAGATCGGGACAGGAGAAGATTGATTTGAGGAAATCCAGGGTTTTGTCACTACTGGTGGACCAGAAGCCACCGATGAGGCCATCGGTCTACACCTTAAGCCCTTGTTGGAGTCGTCACCACCGCTAGAAACCTGCATCTCCTCCGACACCACCACATATCAGTGTCAGCACCAACTCCTCTGGCACAACCACCTGTCACCGCAAACACATTCCCCTTCCCTTTCCCCAATTTTCTTCTACTTTCGTCTCCCTCTTCTCACCCATTCCCGACAACCATCCAAAACCCCAAAACGGTGAACCAAAATCAGACCCCAAACCATCATCCTGTATCTTTATTCCCCCCTCTATCTTAAGAATACCAACGACCATCGAGGCTACCCATTTCAATATATCACGAGTTCACGACATCTTACTGCAATCGAAATCAGGTCCAAGACGAATCCATCGAAATAAAATCAAACCTAACCTGAAACTCAAAATCAAAATCGAAACCTTCATGAGTTTCAATTTTTGGATTTGAGAAGGACAAAGAAGGAGGGAATTGCCATTTTCATCGACTTTGTCTCTTCATCAGAGGTGGTTGTGGTATTTTGCAGCGTAACTGAGAGAGATAGAGATTAAAGGGAGTTGTTTTTTTTTTCAGTTATAAATAATAATAAATAATATTAGATTAATTTAAAAAATAAATATACAAGGGCACTATAGTCATTTCAAATGGGGAGTGGACTACATTTGCAAAAAAACGCATTTAAGGGACGAAACGTGCAAGGTTTAAGCAAACAAGGGACGGTCCGAGTTAATTTTTGAAAATAGGGACTAAACGTGCTTTTCGGCATATGCACGAGGGACGATTCGTGTAATTTACCCTAAAAATAATTTACGAGTTCCCTAAATATCTAGTAAAATTTGCAAATTGTTTGAATTTGAGAATTAGTTTTGTAATTTAACTAAATTTGGTTTATGTATATGATACATCAAAAAATTGCAAAAAATTCCAAGGCATTGATCCTCTATCAGGAAATATATATCGACAAAAACCCTCTTTATGATATGCACGAGGGTTGAAGGAGTTTAAGAGTAAGAAAACCTATGTGAAAAGTATCCCGAGAAAAGAAGTCAATAATGATATTTTTTGCTTAGACTACTCTGAATGGGCAATGGGAGTGCCCGTTAATCTGACGTGGACGTCCCATAACGCCGGTATAACGCGCAAAACACCCCCCATCCCCTAGCCGTTATTAGGCGTTATGGTAACCGGCGTTTTCGTGGTAATGGGAAGAAACGGGGAAATACACATCGCTTTTTTTTGCAACGGTCATAAAATGGACCGTTATTGAACGGTCAAAATGGTAAAAAAAAACTATTTCTTTTCACTCAATATATATATATATATATATATATATATATATATATATATATATATATATATATATATATATATATAAACATTTTCACTTTAATTATTACTCACCATTTCTCACTTTAAATTTTTACATACGCTCAGTTCATTTTTTTACACAAAAAATCATATGGATTAAAACCCCAACACTCCTCATAAAAAAAACTATTTTTTTAATTATGTTTTATTTAATTTAAATAAATAAAACAAAATAGAAAAATAGAAATTAAAAACATAAATAAAATAAAATAAAATAAAAAATAAATAGAAAATGATAGGTGTTATCACATGTTATTTGGTGTTGCACATTTCCACATTGGGTGTTATAACACAAAAAGTATGACTAGGATGATGAGGTAGACACTTTGGGTGTGATAACATGTTGCCCACACCCAATAGCCTTACGTCACTTAAGTAGTGTTGGTCATATTTGTAATGTTGTTCATCCATAGTATAACAATTATATCCATTTTGTCTACCATTCAACGCATCTATTGCCAAAAGATGTGATTTTTTCGGTTTAAACCAATCGAAATTAATTGCCACGGGTTTTAGGTTCTGCTGAAGATTATATATATATATATATATATATATATATATATATATATATATATCAATTCCTAGTCTCCTATAAGATAGAACAATATATATTTCATGTGTTTGTCTCATGTATTGTTCTATGTTCTACGGGGACAAGAAATTCGCAAAAAACATGAAAGGGAAAAAGTAATTGAAAGACCAAAGAAATTCGCAAAAACATGTAAGGGAAAAAGTAATTGAAAGACCAAAGGATATTGCGAAGATATATATTGGACAAGGTTTAATGACTTAAACCTTGAATAAACAACAACAAAGGAGGCTTTTAACGAGTTCTATTCGAGTATGGATAATATGTAACATCCATAAAATCATGCCCAATTTAAATTTTTAAAAACATTTCTAACCATTAAAATCATTACAACTTTGTTTTCAAAATGTATAATATCAGAGTTTCCCAAAAACATAAACAAATCATGAGGAGCTGTACGATCATGCCTTCGCCTTGCCGCGATCCCTTGATATACCTGAAACAATAAACTGAAACTGTAAGCCCGAAAGCTTAGTGAGTTCCCCCAAAATACCCATACCACAACAATACACATATAATCATAAACAACATACTATGGGTCCAGTCAACCATCGGGTTGGAATACCCCAAGCCCTTAACCATCCGGTTGGAATGCCAACATACTATGGGTCCAATCATCATCGGGATGGAATACCCCAGGCCCACAACCAACAGGTTGGAATGCTCAGGTCTATTGGCTTTCGCACAAAGCAGATAAGCCTCAACCGCCAAACAAACTGTGCACATATAACAGATAATCACATAATAGTCTATAGACAACAACTAATCTAACGGATCGTACCACATACCACATAATATTATCCTACCCTCTAGGATACCGAACTAACAGGTCATACCACATGTCACATGATGTCATCCTACCCTCTAGGATACCGATCTAACAGATCATACCAGCATAACATAGCCAATAACAATTCAAAGGGCCGACCTTGGTGCCTTAAACCCTTTAGTATAGTGAGGATAACTCACCTCACAATGTCGCACTGAAAATGATAGGCTCAACTCTCGAATCACCAACACGAACTCTACCACCTATAGTTACCATAAAACCCTTTTTCCATAAATTTCCAAATTACCAAAATGCCCCCAGAGGTCGACTGGTCAACCTTTGGTCAAAGTCAAAGTCTACAGTCAAAGTCAACAGTCCATGTTGACCCGGCTCGTCAAGTGTAGTTCACCGACTCGTCGAGTCCTTCCTGAACTCGAGAAGTCGTGAAATCCTTGGTTGACTCGTCGAGTTCTGTGACATCCCCATTTTCACGGCCAGAAAAGACCGATTTTGTTTATGCTTTATAAAAATCAGAGTACCTCTTTTAGTGAAAATGTTGCAGAATTTGTTCCCAGTAAAACATGATAAATACGTTATCAAAACATTTCCGAAGAAATGTATTTTTATTCATTTTAAAACATTTGGGATGTTATCGTCAATACAGAAACATAAGCATAAACAGAACTTACATTCATTTACAGTAGTGATCTACATCTCTTTAATCTCTCAGTGTAATGTAACTTCGTATCGACACTTGTGATATAAAAAAGCTTGAGTGGGTCAGGTTGGGAAACCTGGTGAGTACACATGGATTTCAATCCCACAATGTTATATCATATATATAATTTAGAACTCACAAAACATACAATTTCACCATATATATATATATATATATATATATATATATATATATATATATATATATATATATAAGCAACTCTTACCCCACCCCGTTAATCCTTACAACAAGATTATCCATACTCTCGGACCTTAAATTTTACCTGTCACTTAACCCATACTCTCGGATCTAATTCATGCTCTCAGATCAATAATTGTGCCCATTCCATACTCTCGGATTAGGGACAAGTGTCTATGTGTAAATCCATTCTCCCGGATTAACGACGAATGACTATGTCCTATCCATACTCCCGGACTGAGGACGACTGACTTTGTCTTAATCCATACTCCCGGACTAAGGACAACTGACTATGTCTTAATCCATACTGTCGGACTAAGGACAACTGACTATGTCTTAATCCATATTCCCGGATTAATGACAATTGACTATGTCCAATCCATACTCTCGGACTAGGGACAA